TAAGTATTCTTTAACAGTTCAAAGTATTTTCCATCATACCTCATAGAGCATTTAGAGGCTCAGGCCAGTTATTTTCAATTTTGTGTCTTTGTATCATTAATAACTTCATTGGGTACCAATTTATTTATTTCTATGATGGGATACTTTCACCTGTCCTTTATACTTCCCAAAGGTTCTTTAGGAACAGTTCACTTAGCAGACCTTCACTGAGTGCCTAGTCAAGGCTAGACAGAAATGACTGCATTCTGGAAGATGTAGCACAGTCCATGAATATAAAATAGAAAATACAAAATTCAATCTAAATTTTCTGTGATTCTTCTATAAATATTATTAGGTTTTTCATGCTCCTAGACTTTCGGCCCTTGTTTAGTAGAAGGATTTTTTTTTTTTCAGTACTGGGGATTGAATTTAGGACCTTGCACTTCCTAGGCAGGTGCTTATTCTACTGAGTTATCTCCCCAACCCATAAAAAGGATTTTTACAAGTAAAATGTGAAATTGAAATATTAAATAGAATCTGAAAGGTGGTAAAACCTCTTGAATTTCCCAACTCCTGTGAGTGGACATTTCCATTTAATGAAGAAGGGAAAGAAAGATTCCCTACATCCTCATTTTTATAAAAAGATGTAAGATCTAGGCCCTTAAAGAGTCAACACTGAACATAAATAACACTAACGACAGAATGTGCAAGAAGGGAAGCCTAAGCAGTACTTGGTATTTCACAATGGCTGGAGTGTGGAGCTCACTGACTTAATCCTTTCTTCTTGATGGGGTTAGTTCATACCTGGGAATCAATGAAAGAATGAACTAAAATGTGACTTTCCTTGAGGAAAATAAAAATATGATGCCTACAAAAAGAAATAGCACAGAGAGTTGGTATCATTGATGCACTTTAAGGCAGGGATGGATAATACTTAGGGAGAAAGCAAAGGATGGTAACAAGTGCATCAGGCCACTAGGAAATACTAAGTTTCTACATGGCTTTGTAAAAGTCAATCCTAGCTACTTCAATTTCAAATCATTCGTGTCTCAAAGCCTGTTCCATTTACTCTTCGGCCTTCACTATGTCATGGGTAAATTTATTGTCTACCCTTGTGACAACTTCTAGGTTTGAAGGGCTGCTTAAGTCATTACTGGGGTTTGTCTGGATGTTCCACTTGGGCATATTCAATGGCTATGGCCATCCTTGGGGCATTACAGCCCTCTATGAATTACCTGCGCTATTCTCATACAGGGGGCTAGATTGTTAGACTGACACGTTATACCGACCTCTCTTACTTCTTCAAACTCTTTACCTCCTCCTTTCCTATTTCTTTGCAGTTACTGACAGGCTGCATGCTTATGACTACTCTTGGTTTTCTGGGACCTTACCATTAACACCTCACTTAGATCAGATATGCTACACTGTTGGGGAGGAATAACGTATTACTAGGTATTACAACCTTTTAAGAAGCTATCTTAGGAAGTAAGTGAAATAAGTAAATAAAGTATTTTTATTTTTTGCTATATAAAACACAAGGGAAGCTCTCTAAAAAGTATGCCTTCTGAAAAAAAAGTTGGAAACTGATCAGTCTTGTTGTAAACTACACAGTCTCACTTTCCATCTGATATTTTGAGAACACTATTTTTCAAAGCACAGATGTTGCTAGAAAAAATACTCTATGATTAAGTAAATCTGGAAAATGCTAGATTAAATAAAAATAGTTTTCTTTCTTATATGACTTGTGAGTTTCTTTGATCCACTTGCAGAAGGATGCTGGAAGATAGAGGCTGGAAGATAGAGTGAAAATATGCAACACTTTCCCAAAATTCTTTATCCACTGAATCTTTGTCTCAAGACTTCCCTCATGGGACTAATGTTCTGAAACTTACTATGGGAAATGCAGGCCTAGACTTACAATACTTGGATTCAGTTTCTCACAAGGAGAAATCAAACATCTTAGTAAAGAAGAAAGGGACAGGGAAGAAATGGAAAAAGAATATAATTCTGAAAGTGCCTGGCAGTACTTGAATTTCCAAAGGTAATGAGTTTCTGCAGAAATACAGCTAACTTACTGATTTTTTCATATTTCCTACTTTTCAAATGTTCTGATCTCTTAATAAAGCCCAGGAGGGCTTTATTGTCAACTCTCTGTTGTTCCTCTTCCAGAAGACACTGTTGGTCAACCCTTACAGCCACAGAAAGGCCAGGGTCAGAAGATTCACTGGAACGGAATCAGGAATTTGTACAGAGCTCTTTCCCCTTTAAGTCGGCTCAGCTAACTTAGGTATGTTATGAACAACTGGTTTCAAACTAGTCCAAATCAACCCATTTTTAAGACTCTCGTACTGTTACATGTTGATATGTCTGTCATATTCTCCTTGGAAGCACCTGCATGTCATCTGTATTAGTACATATGGTCTACACAATCATGTGTAGGTCTTGTAATCAACTGAAAAATACTGCCTAGCCTTTAAAAACTATTATTTCTGGGAATGAGTTTTATAGCAATGCATATGTTGATACATTAGCTGTTGATCATTAAATCTCCAGTCTCCAGTATGGTGAAAGGCATCAGTTCCTACACCTGCATCACTCACTCTAAAGGGCATCTGGCCCCAGCTTTTCTGAGGCTGGAGCCAACCTAACCTCAAGCCCAGGCCCCTGTGAAAGTATACAGTAACAGAACATTACAGCCTTGGTGACTCTAATTTAAAATCATGAAATCCTGCTTATCAAGGGTGTTTCACTGTCACCATGAACCCCACTTTAAAGAAGTTTCTAAATCGTGGCCCCTTGAGCTAAATTATCATTTTATCTACCTTGCCCTGATCATCCCAAGGGCAGGAGGAGACTTAGATTCTTGTCCTAGGACCAGACAGGAAGCTCCCTAAAAGCACAGCTCTCTCTTGCCTGTCGTGCTCTTCCCTAAGACTCCCACAGGGGCTTGCACGGAATTTGTGCTCCTAGTGTTTGCGGCAAATTCTCAGCAGTATTCCAGCCAGTATCTTCCACTCTAAGAGCATGAATTTCTCACCTGGAGAAGGCTGAAGCTATCTGCCTCTGTGTCCAAGGATCACTGAGCACATTCACAGAGGTGATAGATGTGATGGTGGAAGACCATCACCATCCTCCTGGCTGCAGGGGTAAGAGAGGTGTGTCTGAGGTCCCACGGCACACCTAAGCCAGATACTCTTCAAGGATTCCTAACTCTGTTGGGAAGCCTCCTCCTACCCAGGCAATTATTTTGTTCTCTAAATGTAAGAGGGCCAACCAATCAGGCAAGATAGTCTAGTTTATGAGTAGAGACCTCTGAAAAAATATCAAGGGGCCAGACTTTGTAAGAAATCATTCACAAGGCAAATAAATTTGATTTGGTGCCTCATTTTCAGCCACACATACTAGGGTATGTGTCTACAAAATACGCTGGTATGGCATCTTAGCAGGTTCCTATGCGATCCACTCCTCTAAACTGGCTTCCAGGTCTTTCTGCCCTTAAGATGCTCTCTGCTCCTGTCAGTCAGGGGAAGGAGGCAAAGCCAGGGTGGCCTTCTGCCATGTATGGGTCAGAAGAAGAGCCAAAGCATGCTCTGCAGACCTCTCACTCACTACAAGATCGTTGGGGAAGAGTGCCAAGGAGCAAGGGCAATAGGAGAAACAGCAGGGACCAAGAATGAGAGCGAGTAGACTTAGTTAGCTTGCAGGATGCCAGGTATGCTAGGATGAGAGTGTGAGGTGGTGAGAGTTGGATAAATAAAACCAAACCCAAACAAAAACACGGCCACACTAATAATGACACAAAACTAATGTGTCCACTTTCCAAGTATCCAAACTAAAAGCCATCTTTTAATACTAAAGACAATGAGCTGGTACCTTTTTTTCACTTAGCTCCAGAAATCTAAATGACCCAAACAAATACCTGAGGCTCTGAAGACAAATGCTTCAGGGCCAAGCTCAGGGGGCCAGAGAGCCTTAACACCAGCTGCTTTGCTGCTTGGCTCTGGGGAGGGTTTCTAATGTTATGTTGTACATAAATAGCTCCACTGGAGTTGCTCTCCTGGCAAAATGTCTTGGAGACAAGTATCTCTGGGATGCTAGTTACATGATGTGAAAAGAAAACAGTCATCTGCAAAACTTTAGAAGTATAAAAACACTTCCTCCCCAAGCAAAAATTAAGCCTCTTTTTGACATAGATAATTTAACTAAGCCCTTTTTCTCTTGTCCAAAGGCATCCATACTTATCCAAACAATTCTATTCCTTTACCTAATGCCCCATCCCCATTGGAATTTACTAGTATCAAAAAAACCAAAAATACAATACAATAAAGGGAAAAAAGCTGTTGATATTGTCTGTGTTGGTATTTCACTTGTTTTTCTGATGTTTGGAATTTAATTTGCATAAGATTCATCTTCAAGAGTTTTAATGCTAAATACCATAAATAGTTTTTTGCATTTGAAAACTACAGACATTTTGTTTTTGTCATTCTATCTTTTTACTTGCTTTAGTTAGTCCAGGCAGAAGATAGGGTCCAAATCAAATAAACCAGACTCCTTGGCTTCGCTGACTAAAAAGGCCAGCAAAATGGATTTCTTTTTTCGTTGTTTTACCCCGCCATTAATTTGCATCACTAAGGCATTTTCTAGGAAAGTGTTCAGCAGACTCAGGGCTTCTCTGGTTGCCAAGCTCATGGAAACAAAATGCTTTCTTTTAAAACTCTTAAGAGACATTCCAAAATAACTCACATTAGATACCAGCAATAGACTACATATCTATAAAGGAAGAAAGGAGGGAAGGAAAGAAAATGGATAACATAAACAAGAAAAGACAAAACCTTAAAGAGGAAGGGGGAAAGAAAACATTTAGATTCCTTGAGTGATGGAAATAAATACCAAAGCTATTAGTTTCAGTTCAAAGAACATATCACTTTATGCTGTTTATTATTTCTTGAGGATTATTTATTTTTTCTTAAAATATCCAAACGGTAAAAGTAGTCCTGGAGGTAAGCAGCGAGGAAACTGACCTGGTCTGGAGAGGGCCTGTGATTGGAATACTGTGACCTCCCAGGAGATCGATGGTGGTGGTGGTGGTGGTGATGGTGGTGATGGTGATGGTCCTCATCGTAGTTGTCTGCCATCAGCTTCATTCTATTCTGGGTCTGTGCAGAGCAAAAAGCAGGGAGGATTCCATCAGGAGTTTGAGGACATAGCAAAGAGACTTGGGGCATAGTGACAGGACCTCAGAGCCTCTCTGTTTCTCCATTTTAGTTAATATAAAACTTAATCAAGGACGAACCTTGCCATTAGCTTGGGTGAAAGAGGCTTTGTTGTATTCTTGAAGCTACAAAGCTACATCTGTAGACATTGATGTAGTTTCCTTCCTTGCTTTAAGAGTGGCAAGTCCATATACTAATGTTTTGTTCTACATTATCAAGCAATTGCAGAGATCCAAAGTAAACTTCTGAGCACACAGTGTCAACACTCATGTAGGACCTACACTTTAAAGCAAGCCAGAGAAGGAGCCTTGGATGGAAAGATGACAAACAGACTCAGAAGACGATGCAGGGAAGGAAATCCATGCCAAGGTTACCAAATGCAAAAGTACTGAGGGAGATGTATTGCTACGATGAGTTCTTTGGAAAGGCCACTCTTTGGACACTTTAACTGCTATTATTTCTTGAGAGAATGGAGCAAAATGTATAAAGTCTCTGGGAAAAGAAGTGACTAATTTATACTCTTTTTTTGTCATAAGAGGATACTAGGTATCATAGCTAAAAGCTGCAGGGCCAAGGAATTGTCTTGCTTTATTGCACAAGGCAAGAAATAGGCGAGAGACAAACTCATAGGGCCATAAAATGTAGAAAAATGGTTAGGATCATAGAAGTATAAAACACGCCGGTCCAGAAAGCCCAGAAAACATGGGTTTGGGGATAGGAATTCCTGGATTTTAGTGCCGCCCCGCTCTCTTCGCAGGGTATGCTACCTGAAGAGTCAACTGATCATTACTTCCACCTCCATAACTCTACAGGGAGAGCAACCAGTCCTCCCTCCCTGGGGTGGCTGTGAGCACCAAATGACAGGAAGACATACAATATGACATATGACATATAAGTTGACAATAAGTCAAACACTATCACTCCTATTATTGTTGCTGTGCTTTCTCCTCTGTGCATCTTGCTTCCTTTGTATGCAATGCTGCTCAGGCACTTTCCTTGACCTTAATTCCATGTCTGCTTAGCTGAGGGCATGTTTTCCAGGAGTCTTTGCTTTTACGTGTGTGTGTGCACACACGCGCGCATGCATGTGTGTGAGTGTGTGTGTGAACCCAGGGCCTTGCACATGATAAGCACAGGCTCTTCTACAGTCCTCTCTCCTTGCCTGATTCTGAGGCTGGATCGGATGTGCCTCCTGCTCACCATGGCTCTCTGACCCAGGATTTACCTGGCATCTGTCACGGGATCTCCATGCTGTCTCTTTCGTCTGGCTTTCCCAGATTCCAGCACAGGGCCTAACAGGCAGAGAGTCAATGCCTGCTGCTGTCATGAGTAGCTGAAAGAATGAAGGGATTCTTTCTCAAGAATGCTGCCATCCTAGAGACAAGATGCACGTTTGTTTTCAGCAGAGAGGGTCACTGAGAGTTAAGGACATTGCGTGAATTTCCATAACAGTCCCACTGGTGGCTCACGATGACAAAAAGCCATCAGGACTTTAAGAGAGCCAGAAGTCAGGGGCTGGCAGGGCTTCCAGCTGGTTGGAGTGTTGTTATGTAATATAAATAATGCTCTGATAATAAAGAGCTTTCGGGACCTAGCATAGTGCATTCTTAACAGTGTTTTTAATGCACAATCTAACAGTCTCAAAACTTGCCTGGGAGAAATTATTACTATCCTCTTTGGCAGCTAGAAAAGTGAGACAGATTTCAGGCCCAACTGCCCCAAGGGTCATTTTCTTGACACAGAACACTAAAATCTTTTGAATCTTCTATTTTTCAATTGTTAGGCCTTTTTCCCTTACCTTGTTGTGAGCAAAACAGGCAAATAGCTAAACAGGTAGAAATAACTTTTCAATAAAAGCTTTGGTTCTGTTAAGTTTTAGAAACACCTCACATCTTATTTCGATCTGCCAAAAGATGTCTCATGATTTATTCACTCCAGCTATTACAATGTGTATAATGTTCAAAAGTTCCCAGGGTGGAACTTTTATTATATGATGAAAACAATAAAAATACAGGAAAAGTGACTTAAAACTTAAATTAAAAAATCCCAGACCTTGGGCAGCTGAGAGCATTTCCATCCTTTGCTTACCCACATAATGTGTCAGAAGGCCCAATGGACAAATAAGGCCTTGTGAGAAAGAGTAGAGCTGCTCAACTCTTAGGACCAAGTACTGAGATCTCTCTTAGTCCTCTTGCCCTTGGACAATGGATTCTGAATTCAGCATTCACACCTAAAATTCCAGTGCTGCTTTGGGAGACTGTACTTTTGAACTCATGAACTAATAAATCTGAAATTATTTCTTTTAAATAGAATTTTAAAAGCCTGAAGGGAGTTGTGAGCTATGCTATGTTCAAGAAGGAAAAGACTGCCCAAGAATGAATAATGGAGTTTAAATGAACAAATAATAATGGATACTGTAAACATCATGATGTCCTTATCCTTTGGGGAAGCTCCTGTAATTTCATGAGATTATTTTCTTACCAGAGACAAGACTAAAGTTCCCTACCTTTGAACTATATCCCATAAAAGAATGTACAAGCTAAACAAGATGCTATATGCAGTGCTAAATGTGTCTGCAGAAATGAGGTGTTGAGGAGTAGGCATGTCATAGGACAAAGACTGTAAATGAATGATGTCATCATTCCAATTTGGTACTGAAATATAAATAAACCACATTGTTCATGTGAATACTTGATCTGGGGGAAATGTACACAGAGGAATTGTGAGCGGAAGAGGCTTCTTTTGATTAGTCTGGACTGGGAGAGAAGAGTGTGAAACAGAGATGAAAAATGAGAGTTTGGTCTGATACTCTAGACCATTTTTATTTATCTTGATTGTAACATATCTCTAAACTGTGCCCAATTTCTTACAGGCTGGTTGCTAGTGTTTTCTCCCATGGAACATCTGACCAATCTGGCTCTATTAATTCAAACTGAAAATGGATCTCCTTTTCTTTATATTGTTCAATGTGTACGTATCTGCCTTCACTGTTTCTACCAATTATATTGGTTTCCTAGCACACAAAGAATGATCTGAAGGGATAGAAAGCAACTAATAACACGCCCTCATAGTCAATGGAAGAAAAACTATAGGAAATTACAATAAGGATTGGAACAATGACACTATTTTAGCAGACCAGGGGATTCCAGGTGTAAAAGGTCATGTCCCTATGGCCTTCCCTATCCCAGATATAGGAGATATCCCAGATACATTTTATTTCTTCTGTAGTATTTACCATCCTGCTGACCTGACTGACCTCTCTGCCTTTGACATAATATAACATATACAAAAATTTTAAACTACATTAAATCATGACTGCTGAGACAAATCTAATCAGACTTTACGTTCTATTTCCTCTTTCTTCCAGGCACTACTTTTTTCTCTAGTACTGCAGCCTCCTAATAGCTCTCTTACCTCCTGTGGGGTGCATTCTGTAGCCCACTGCCCTACGGAAGGAATTCTGATCCTTACCATGCTCTCTTAATAGGCACCTGCTGTCACCTTGGCTCCTGTCTTCAAGCTTGACACAGTCTGCTCTTTGTTGCTGTAGTGCCCTTCATCTTTCACTCCTCAAGTATGAGTTGTACCTGTCAGTTCTGCTGGTATACATCATTCTCTCCCAAGATTCCCTAAACCCACTTCACCAGGGGCAGATACTCCTCTGCTCCTTCTCATAGCATCCTTCCCCCATTTCCCCCACCAAGCTCCTTCCCTCAAAGAATGGCACGTCACTGCATGCTTACTTGGCTATCTCCACAAACAAGTTAAAAATCTAATGAAAGCAATATGCTCAGATTGCTGTTCTCATCACTTGGCACAGAGTCTGGGGTAAAAGCAGTAAGAAAATGTGTGTTCTGTGAGTGTCTGGATGTGCAAATGAATGGTGGGGAGGCCACAGGCTATTTTCAGACAGGTGAATGAAACAAAGAGGTTATGATGAGCCAACTTGGTCTTTAACTCTCGTTGTGATTGTTTAAATTTTCTTGTGTATATGCATTGCTTGATGCTACTGTTATGGATGCAGACAGCAGGGCAAGTGTAGGGTTTTGGATATGTTGGGCAAGTGCAATTGGTCTGCTTTAGAACATAATCTAGACCCCAGCAAACTGGACTCAGTCAAATACTCAACCACTTGAGTAAATTCTCTTAGAAAGAATAGGAGTCTTGAGGAGCTATCAGTTGCATTTGCTTATTGTCCTCTAGTCTAGAGGACAGCAGGGCACTTTTTCGAGCTTATGATACTGCTAAAAGTAAACCATGGAAAACTGACACTGTATCCATTAACTAAAATCCTGGATGAACAACATTTGTGAAAAGGGTGCAAACAACTACAATTCTTGACATTTCTGAAGAGTTTATCCAAGGAGCTCTTGAAACAAAATGAAAGTCTTTGATTGACTAGTAATAGACTCAATAGCTTAATGGCAATATGTAGCTATAAATGTGTAACATTAAAACTGCCTTTAAAGTATTTTAGCAAGATGGCAATAAGGAACTATGCTTTGATCAGTCATCTGGGTTAAGTTAACAATAAAACCTTCTTGAATATGGCTTAAATAAGGAAAAATATAATAAGATTTGTTGCCATGGGGTATGGAGATAATAACGTACAATAGCAATTACATTTTTCTATCAGATTTTCTTTTTTCCCTCTTTCCCACCGGAGGCATCTGAAATGTTCCAGAACTTTTCTACTAGTCTTGCTGCTGCCTAATCAAAGCAAGATGAATCTTTCTCATTGGAAAATAAGGTAGGAAACTAGACAATGACTAAACAGTGAGGAGAGAGGTGGGTCTGAATATCCACTGTGCTCAAAAAGCCATGAATTGTAACCAAATAGAATCTGTGTCCCTGTGTTGGAATCACAATAGGAGGACAAAGTTAAGCAAGAGGCTGGAGATGGGATGTGCTGCACCACAGAATAGCAGCAGTAGTAGAAGCAG